GGCAGTGTGCCGCTTGTCCTGAAATTTAGCGACTCCTTGCCCAAAGACAGCCTGCGGGCAGCTGCCGGCTGCCTTTGCGCTGCGAAATCCAAATGGAAGGCAGCATCTGTTTTTCTAAAAATCTCCAATCTCTGCAGTCTTGGCTTGTTCTTTTTTCTGTAGGTTTTTCATTCCTCAGTCTTACGATTTTGAGTGTGCTTGCTTCTGGTTTTCCTTGCTTTCATCAGCAGGGTGTAATGAAGCATCATGTCAGGGAATACACTGCCTTGTCCTGTAAAAAAATCTCAAAATGTGGAGAAAGATTGCAGCACAAATTCTAAAAAAGTCATACTGGGGAACCACTCTCTGAAAGAATGTGAAAACACTTTGGTTCACATTTCCTGCCTCTTTAAGCTAAACCTTCCAGTATACACAAATCAAGATCCCCATTCACTGATCCTTACTGTCTTTCTAAAACCTAAGTGTTCCCTCTCAACCAGTATCTCTTGCCCTGAGCTTCAGTCGGCATAATGGAGACATCCCAAAAATTGTAGAGGTATGATTTGCAGAGCTATGGTTTTTTCAAAATCAGGGCAGCCATTACTTGCCTCCAGCAAGGTGTCCCCAATTCTCAGGCCTCCCGCTGCTGCTCTTGCAGATGTGGTTCCGCTCTGCCCACTGAGTGTGTGTCGAATCTCCTCGCTGAGACCTTAACCTCTGCCTGTTTTTCCAGAGCTTTCCTCCAACTCTTCCCTCCAGCTCGCTATGTACCTAACCTGTACTTTTTACCTAAATAAAATAAAGTCATGCTGTGGAGCTTATCAAACAGACATCACAAAGATCCTGACTGCAATTCATGGGAGTTACTTAATCCAAATCATTCCACAGACATTATTTACATAGTAGTAAATCATCCAGTAAATAGAAGGAATCCATCAGATATATCTATGCACCCACAAGTGTGGAAAGAGCTTAGTACGTCTCTTCATTCTTTGTCAGCCAAATTGGGAGTAGGAAGAAGATGGTGGGTTAAATTCTTCGTGTTCTCACCATGTTAATTAAATGGGGTGAGGAGTCAGCAGTTACAAATCTCCGGAGCAGCAGGTTGTTACTTGTGAGTTCCTATTCTCCAGTTCCTCTGGCAAGATGAAATGATGTTTCTTCAGGCTTTGTTGACACAACAGATTTTTTTTTTCCTATTGCAGGTGTTGGCAATTTACTCTTCAAGCAAAGACATTCTTCCAGGAATAAATAATATGATAAAGTTTCAAATGTTCCACTGTTTGAGGATTAGGTTATACAACCTGATGTGAAACTGGGGATTCATTTTGGTTTCTGACCTCAAGATGAAGGTTGGCTTACCAGCTTACATGTGGGTAGATGAAGCTAGGCCAGCAGAGCCGGTATCTGCTGTAAAAGCTATGCAAAAAGCTGGATTGTATGTGAGCAGTTAATCCATGTCTGTTCTGCTGTGGCCATACTGTTACCTGTACAGGAGCAGGCTGGCTTAAAGTTAGTTTGGGGATGACATCATGAACTTCAGTCAAACCCGTGAGAGTCATTAGGCTTACCTTCATTTAAGATCATTTTTATTCGCGTATCACTCTTTGCATCTTCTACACCAGGCTTGTTCCTTTGATGATTCTTTGCAGGTTGGAAGTGCCAGAGCTGAGGTGGTTGTCCCTACAGTTCCACTTTGTATGTTTTAAGTTATGAGGCAATCACGTATGATCACATACTGCTTTACACACATCTCTCTCGGTGCGGGTGTGTTATGCTCCTTGTCTGCTCAGCAATCCAATACTTGTTTTCTTTTCATTTTTCAGTCTCTGGACTCGTGCCTCATCTATGGGCCAATGTCCAAACTCTACACTGACCTACTCCTGAGATTTTTCCATGCTCCTTTATCTGCAGGTCTTAACTTACTACAAATATTAATAAATTTATCTTTATAATATGTCAGCAGAATTATTAGCTCTCTTGAACACATGCATTTTAATCTGTTGAGGGTTATAACCATGGTAGTGCAGATGGGTGAGCAGAGAACAGCAAGTGCTGAAACAATGTACTCCTTTTTTAGTAGGGACTCCTGTATTTTCCTAAATTTAGAAAGTCGCAAGATCTGATCGTCTCCATGGAACTTCCTGTCCTCTAATTTATTTTAATTAATTACAGATCCGCTATGTGTCTTGCATTGCTGAGATAGAGCATTCGTTCATTTGAAGACATTTTATAGTTCCCAAAGTGTGGAATTAGTTTTCAAAATTATCACTCATTGAAAGATTTTTCGTTTGTCTAGGGAGAGATACAAAATAATTTTTTGTAGCCTCTTTACGCAAGCGCCTCCTGACAGCAGGTTTGTCTCGCTGTCAGCACATTCAACGAGCTACAGTCAAGTACTTAAAACACAATCAAGCACAAACATGCAGTGCGCCTACAGAATTATGCACACCAATGTCTTTCCGCAAGGAATTATGCGCACAGAGAAATAATCACAGATGCAAGTGTGCACACACAAGATATCGTGCAAAATAAGCCATTAACAGATCCTGTCAGTGCTTTGCGTACAAGCCTACAGCTAACAGCAGTCGGAGTATGTCGGCGAGGACTCGACTAGGCTCGTTCAGTTTTCACGTTCAGATTTTGAGCACCAGACGGCTCTCGCGTTCTGCAGGACTCAGTAGGAGCTTCTTGGGTCAAGCAGCCACCTCCTCTTGGGAACATTTCCCAGTATCCAAGTACAGGTATCCATTCAAGCTTGGTGTGTCCGAGTCTCAGCAGGTCAGTACCTAGTTGCCACCAAATCAGCACCATGATTCAGAGACAGGCAGAGAATTTTTGGGACCTCCCAGGAAAATTACACTGCAATAGCTCAGTCTCTGTCTCCCCTAGCATGTGCAGCTACACAACAGAGAAAAAGCTTAAGGACGCCAGCCCAGTATTGACAAGACTTCAGGCAGCGACATTTAGCTTTTCACTGGAAATTAATAAGAAAAGGAGTTCCTGGGGTAAGAGAAATTGGGATTGGCCTCAGGGACCAATTCTATCCTACAGGAGCAAGAGATAAGGTTAAAAAATCAGAAGCCGGAGAGACCGTACATTTGAAAGATTATTTAGGGAATGGTTCTCCATCCTGGGACTCAAGCAAGTTTGTCAATTGTTGAGTCTACGCTTACGAAACATTAAGTATTACTCTGCGTACCTGTAATGCCCAAAGGAAAAAACCAGTTTATTACTTCAGGAATCAACGAGGTTTTCTTCTAGATCCGATACCAAATTCCAGCACATCCAGTCTGTGTGGAGCCCCTGGGGTTGGGGGGGTGCCGTGATATCTCAACCCATGCCCAAAAGAGTCCAAGACCTACCAGCTGTTGGTAAACTGGCTACCATAAGGACTGGCACCAAAACAATGTAGAAAACAGATGAACAATAGGTGGTAAGAACCTTGGTACAAAGGATCTGTCACAAGTGTCAGAAGCCTTCTTAGATCCCCAGAAGGGCCGAACCAGATGAGCATACAGAGTCCACACCTAACTCATTGGGACAGCACGGTTTAGCACAAAGCTGATTAATTACTGTCACTATTAAACACTAAGGAAGGGAGCTGCAACCGTGTAACAGTATTTCCTAATGAACCTGTCTGAGTTATAAGCAAGCTGAACCCTATATGCACCTCGGGCCTGACAGGTTTGAATTCACCACTTCCATTTCCCAATCACCAGGCAGTGTGCCTTTCACCAACATCCCTTAGCGAGCCCGGCGACTCTATCAAGTGCCACAAGGAAGAATAAACAAAAAGGAACACGATTTTATACTTAGCATGTAAACAACCTTCTGGCAAGGGAGGGAGAGGGGATGATAGTTTTGTTTTAATATACATCTCAAGGTCAGCTCATCCCTTGTACTCCTTTTTTTTTTTCTATTTAAGGAAAAATTTTACACGCTCACTTTACCCATACTGCTGTTTTTCAGAGTGGGAATCTGTTGCCTTCGCCATTTGGGCAGACTGGTAAAAAGATACTTATCAAAGGTGACATCATATGAGCTGAAAAAGCTTTGCTTTACAGATTTTTTTGTTTCAGGTTAAATCTTATCATTAATGATTTGTGTAGTGAAAAGTAGGTTAGTTCCAGAGGAAGGCACGGATCCTAAAGCTCACCACAGGGCAGGCTGCGGATGGCTAGTAAGGACACCTGTAAGGAATATATTCATGAGAAGACAGACCACAGTACTGTAAGGTTCAACGAAGCGGCCATTAAAAAACCAAACGCAAAACAAATGAACCTGACAGTTGGTGCAGGCTTTCACCTGCTGGAAAGGAGCTATCAAGGAGGATGAAACAAGATGCAAAGCATTGACACTTCAGGCTGCAGCTGCCTCTGGTTCCATTAGACTCAATGGCATAGCAGTGTACAAAATCAGTCATCAAATGTTATGAAACATGTTTGCGACAGTGAAACCTTGATTTCTCGAAAAGTCTGAAGAAGTAGGGTGTGGAGGCACAATAAGTCAAGAAACTGAGCAGCTCTGAAGATGATTACTGAGAAATCCTGTTCCACAGGACCTCACAGGAGCTCAGGAATAATAGAGACTTGACTGTATTCAAGAAATAGGGAGAGACATAACAAGGTTTTGTCTTCCCATAGCACTGACGCTACAGAGGATACATTAAACACTGGTTCTGCAGTGATTGGCACAGACTCAAAGGTTGTTAGCTGCAAATATGAAAAAATGCTTATGCAAGCCTCTCCCATGACTAATTGTAACTGTCTGTTTAATTGTATAGTTTGATTGACATATGCTTTCATCTTCCTATTGGCATTTTTAAAAGCTGGATGACGGCATATGAAGAGAGTTTCCAATCCTGCGCCTCTATCTCCAGAAATACTTTAAAAGTCAGAGGGGGAAGGAAGCCACAGCTGGTTCTTCCACTGGGCTACCAAGAGATGGAACTCCTCCTAGTGATTTTTCTTGCTATTTTGACTGTTTTTGTGGCAATAGCATTCTATTATGAACACCCCAAGGCAGAAATCCCTCATGGATTTAGTCAGCGCCAAAAGCTTTATGTTTTTCATTACATCCTGAACTTTGTGTTTGGTCTGGTAAGTAAAACTTGATTAAAGCTGGAGTTTTAAATTTAATTACTGCTAGAGGGGTAATGGATTGGTGAAGGGTTTTAGACTCAATGTTTAAATATATTGCAAACATGCAACTGGATTAATTTGGTGATGTGAACACCACTGCAGATACCTTCAGCCCAGCTGGGTATAACACTCTTCTGCTTGCTATACAGCACCAAAGGTAACATTATGGAAAAAAAAAAATTCCACAGACTGTGTGATACCCATTTTTTTCTGACAGCCTATGTTTTAGCTTTTTAATCCCATTGCCTCAGCGCAGTGCTGGAAGGCTTAAGAAGCTTACTGTGCTGTGTATGGGGAATGGCTGCACTGTGTAACACAGTGCTTATTTAGAGAATGAGCAACTAAATGATGTCCGTGATCTCAGCTCTCTTCTGCAGCTGTATCACTCTCCTTCTGAGCCATCTGAAAGGCAGCTGCCACATTCATCATCTTTTGCCTTTCAGTATGTCTATAGGACTTCCTTTTTCGAGATAGTACACATAACATTAAAGCTGTCTTTCTGTGTCATTGCTTTTGGCACAGTTTTGATCCTCCCTTGTTTTTCATCCTTGTTTCTCTTCAGAACTAGAATGGGACTTCCACTTGTCTTTGTGTTTCATCAGTTATCCTTTCCTGAACCAGTCGTTGCCTCTGTCATAAACCCACTTCTTTTGCAATTCCTAAATCAAGCTTCTTTTCTTTTAGTTGTTTAAATTGCGAAAAAACCCTTCAGTTTCTTCGGCTTGTACATTGTATTTCACTGCAATTCTGTGTTCTAATGTCATCGTATCTTCCTCCCTTTCCCTCCTACATTGCTTATTAAGTTTTCTTTGAAGTCAGCCAGCAAGCTCCTAAGAACGTGACTCATGTCTCTTGAGATGTGCCCCACCTAGGCTGGAGCACTGCTGCGACAGTAAAGCAATGCAATGAAACAGGATAGTAAGAGAAGCCAAATTAACCTTTCTTGTATCTACTATACAATGGGTGGACTTGCACATTTTCAGAATGCTGTATGAATACACTTTATCCATCAGACAAAGTTTTTGTGTAATTCATATGTAAAAAGCTAAACTGCAGAATTTAGAAACTTACTGGTGATTAATGTACTTTTTAACTTCTGATCTTATAATTTTGTATCCTTACTGCTGGCCAGCAAGAGGCCAAGCAAAAGCACTGTACCACATCACCTCAAAGGAGCAGACAGGCAAGAATGTTGAAGTGTGGTTATATAAAAGTTGATATGCAAGTAAAGTCTGAGTCATGTAGCAGCTCTTGGTATTGCTGTTAGGCCAATTACTTATGCCAAAGTAGCCAAATCCTTTCAAGGGATGACAACCTATGATAAAGCCAGTCTTCAGCTGGGACAAAAGATGCAGGTGAAGTCGCTGGAGACAAACCAGTTTGTTGTGCCCAATCTAATAGATTTTATGAAGAAATGT